CGGTACGGGGTCTGACGCATGGGAAGTTGCCCTGGGGTGTCTACTCGGTGAGTGGCCAGAGGAGTGTAACCAGGTACATTAGAGAAGATATCCTGCTTCTCCCTTAACAGCTGTTGTACCTCGCTCCGCTCCTGTGGGCTCAACCGATCCCCCAGGGTGACCTCCCCTAAGTCCCCGGATAACTGACCCTCTCCCAGCAGATCCGGGAGAGGTAAACTGTCAAACTCCTCGGAGTTAGGCGCACATATAGCGGTCACTTCCTCCGAGCGCTCCTGGTAGGGCTTCATCATGTTCACATGGAGCATGCGTCGCCCCCCAGTACCAACGCACGAGCCGATTATATAAGTGGTGTCACACCGTTGTTCCACCACCTTATAAGGGCCCTGCCAGGCGGCCTGCAGCTTATCGTGTCGGACAGGTTTTAAGATTAACACCTTCTGCCCGACCTGAAAGCTACGGTCCCTGGCGCCCCGATCATACCATGTGCGTTGGCGTGTCTGAGCCGCCTGCAAATTCTCGCGTACCGTCTGAGTTAAGGCCTCAAGGCGGTCTCGGAATGCCAACACATAGGGTATGATGGGGGTACCGTCAGTGCTCCGTTCTCCCTCCCAATGCTCTCTGATCAAATCTAAAGGCCCTCGTACCCTGCGGCCAAACAATAGTTCAAATGGGGAGAACCCAGTGGATTCCTGCGGCACCTCCCGGTAAGCAAAGAGGAGGTGTGGCAGGAACTTCTCCCAGTCCTTGTGGGTCTCTGCGAAGGTTCGGAGCATTTGTTTCAATGTACCGTTGAAACGTTCGCAGAGCCCATTCGTCTGGGGGTGGTAAGGGGAACTAATGACCGGCTTAATGTCACAAAACTTCCAGAGGCGCTGCGTGACTTCGGCGGTGAACTGGGTGCCCTGATCGGAGACAATCTCCCTGGGGAGTCCCACCCGGGAGAATATCTTCATCAGGGCTTCGGCTACTGTCTCAGCCTGTATATTCGTCAGGGCCACCGCCTCTGGATATCTAGTGGCATAATCTACTACTGTCAGGATAAATCTTTTACCTGACGGGCTGGCTTTGTTGAGGGGTCCTATTAAGTCAACTGCTACCCTGCTAAAGGGTTCCTCGATTATGGGGAGGGGATGTAACTTGGCCTTGCGCCGGTCCCCCCTTTTCCCCACCCTTTGACAGGTATCGCACGTGTTGCAATACCTGCGCACCTCCTGGCTAATTCCCGGCCAAAAGAAACTTTGGGTTAACCTGTATCGGGTCCTGCTGACCCCTAAATGTCCAGATAGCGGAATGTCATGGGCTATCCGTAGTAACTCCGCCCGGTACCGCTGAGGTACCACTAACTGCCTCATCACAATCGGGTCTGACCCGGATACCTGCTTATCAGTCTCCCGATATAACAGCTGGTTGTCCCAAATAAACCTTTCGCCCTCCCCCCCAGGCGTGTCTGCTGTCACCTTGTCCCTATACACCTGCAAGGTGGGGTCAGTCACTACCTCAGCTGCAAATTCGTTAGGAGGGGCCCAGGGGACACAGTCAAGGGAAGGGGAAGGATCTCTTACCTGAACCTCCGGGAGTGTGTTGTAGTCCTGGGTGCGGGCCTGTTGTCGAGTGACCACAGGGTGAGCTTCTCCTGTGGTGGGTGTCTGGGGCTCAAAAGCAGATGTGAGCCTCCCCAGATCGTTCCCCAATAAAACCTCCGCCGGTAACTGCGGCATCAACCCCACCTCCACATGCCCTGCCCCCGCTCCCCAATGCAAATGTACCCTTGCTGTGGGTAGCCGGTATACTGCTCCCCCGGCTACCCTGACGGCCACAGTCTAACTAAGTTTAGCTTGGTCTGAGACCAGGTGACTTTTACCAGGGTGATGGTGGCTCCTGAGTCACGTAGCCCCTGAACCGCTTTACCCTCCAGATACACGGTCTGCCTGTGATGCTGGCGGTTGTCTGCGTTAGCCTGGACGGGATCTGCCTCGTGCAGTACCTCCCACTGCTCTACTGTTGTGATAGGAACTGCTGAACCATACGGTGTGGCCACGATGTCCTGGTAGTGATGGGCTGCGGCGGCTCTCGGTGGTGGTGGTGGACCGGGTCGGATCCAGGTGGAACGGTCCCGCAGCTGGGGGCATTCCCTTTTATAATGTCCCCACTTCTGGCAGTGGTGGCAAGGGCCCGACGTGGGCTGGCGGAAACGTGGCTGTGCAGCGGGTGGTGGTGGTGGTGGCAGTGACCTTGGTAGAGCTGGCGTGTAGTTATTTCCCCCAAAGGTTTTAAAATGTACTTTTGGAGCTGCAGGTTTTTGCTGCCTGCGTGCATCCAGGTACTCGTCTGCCTTCCTGGCTGCTTCGGTAAGGGAGGTAGGGTTTCTGTCTCTTACCCACTCCTGTACCTCGCTGGTTACTCCTTCATAAAATTGCTCCAGCAGTACCATTTGCAATACATCCTCCATAGACCGTGCCTTGCTCGCTTGCACCCACCCCAAGACTGCTCGTTGTAGTCTGCATGCCCACTCAGCATGTGAGTCTTTCTCCACCTTCTTTAAATCCCTGAACCTCCGCCGGTATGCTTCTGGTGTTATAGCATACCTGGCCAATATAATTTCTTTCACTTTGTGGTAATTCCGTATTTCATCATTCGGTACAGTCCGGTATGCCTCAGCTGCCCTCCCAGTTAACCTCCCTGCCAAAATAGGTACCCAGTCCTCTGCGCTGATTCTATGCAGTGCACACAGTCTCTCGAAATCTTGCAGGAAAGCGTCTATATCTTCCTCTGCCTCCACATATGTTTTAAAAGCCTGGTACGGTATTTTCGGCTTACCTTCATGTGGCATATTTACTGCAGAGCTGCGTTCTGGGGCCGCTGTTTGACTCCTCAGTATAAATTCCTGGACCTCCGTTATCGTTTTGGAAACAATCTCTGTTGGAGGGTGTTCCCCATAGAAAGACAGCCGAAATTGTACCTGCCTCTGGAACTCCCTTTGTTCCGGTGTTTCTCCCGAATTCCCCTGTTCGGGAACCGAATCGCCTTCCATTCGGTACTCCGCCATCAGTTCAGTGATAAGTGCCGCTTTTGTCTTATTGCTGGCTTGTATACCCCTTGCCTCCAGAAGGTCTTTTAGCGTGGAGCGTTTTAGTGTGGCAAAATCAATCTCCATCCGTACTCCATTTAGGCTTGTTCCTCTGTGAGTCTGGATCCCAGCGCTGCCAACCAATGTAGCGGAGATGCAATATTACCCAGGTTATCTCCGCTTATAATCCAAGTGAGACTCAGGAACAAGTAAATAGTAAATCCAAAGGCAGGGTTTCCAGCAGGTAAAATACAGCAATATCCCAACAGCAATCCCAATAACTGGACGACACACAGTTTCAGGAGCATAACTGACAAGCCTTTAATCACAGTCTCCTTATAAAGCATGCTCCCATGCAAGGGAGGAACTTACAGTAATTATTACAGTAGCCAATCCTGTCCTGGTAACCTCCCACACATCTCCTCCCCTCAGCCAGCATCATAATCCCCTTATCCAGCACACCAATTCCCCCCATTTCTGGATGTACCCCTAAACGTAGGGGTACCTCTTTAAATCATACATCCCCTGATAGCCCTGATCTGGGTGAACAACATATCCAAAAATCACCCAGATCAGACCAGGGGTTCGGGAAAAGTATGGAGGGAATAAAATGACCGACCGCACGAACTGAGATAGCCGAATTCGGTTCCATGTGAATGGGCCTTGCGGTCGGTCCTGGCATAAGGGAATAAAATACACGAAAACCTCTAGCTATAGAGGCTAGGGAGGGTTCGCCTGAATCCCCTCGTTCGGTATTCTCTATCTACCGAACGAGGGGCCGTTCGGTAGTTTGGAACCGAACGGACCAGGGCTGTGGAGGTCTCAGCGGTGTTCGCCTACTCGAGTGTCCGATTTTAGTTCCAGACACTCGACGGCAAAACACCGCTGTTCGGGAGTTTTAAAATGGCCGCCGCCACGTGTTCGTTTGTCGAATGGCGGCCACCCCCGAGAACAAAGGACGGCTACTTACTGTTCAATTACCCGTTCGCAACAATGTTGCAACGGGTAATTGAGGACACACTTCACACAGGGGAGGTCTGGTTGTTCGGTAGTTTCATTCGAATAAACTAAGGGAATGAAACTACCGAACAATCAGAGGAATACAATTCTTTTTAATACACAGAAAATACAGCAGATACACGGATGCAGCTTTATACAGTATTTTTGTAGGGTCGCCTGGTGCCATCCGCTACAGTGTCCAATAATTCGAGTAGTCTCGGCACCGTGGATAGTGGGTAAGTAATGAAAAACATCAGGTCATTGGCATAAGCCTCCACCTTGTGGGTCCTGCCATTCCAGTGAAAACCCTTTATATCTCGACCTCGCGGCACCGCCTCTAGCAGGGGCTCTAGAGACAGCACAAACAGGAGCGTGGAGAGCTGGCATCCCTGGTGTGTTCCGTTACGTATCGGAAAGCTATCCATCAGGGCTCCGTTCACCCGTACTCTCGCATTCAGCGAGTTGTACAGAGCTCCTATCCAGTACACCCACTTGGTCCCGAAGCCGTAGCTGCGGAGTACAGCCAGGAGGAAGGACCAGTCCACCCAGTCAAAAGCCTTCTCCGCGATGGTGGAGAGGAAAAGCAAGGGGGTTCCATCCCTGCGTGCTAGATGTTGGATAGAGAGTACCCGTATCATGCTATCCCATGCCTCTCTACCCAGAATGAACCAAGTTTGATCCGGGTGGACCAGGCCTGGGAGCTTCGCCCCAAGTCGAACCGCTAGAACCTTTGCGTGAAATATTACATTGACATTGAGCAACAAGATTGGTCTATAGCTGCCGCAGGCCTCCAGGTCCTTCCCTGGTTTGGGTAAGATGGGGATCGTAGCCGATAGCGATTCCTGATGGTAACAACCGCTGGAGGTCAATGTGTTGAGGGCTTTGGTGAGTTTTGGAATTAAGGTTGCGCTAAATTTCTTGTAATAGTCCAAAGTTAGTCCATCCGGACCCAGGCTCGGCCCGTCTTCAAGGTTTTGATGGCCTTCAGGAGTTCTTTTTCCGGGACTGGGAGTTCGAGCATCGCAGCATCATGCGCCTGGAGGGGGAAGGCGACATAAGTCGCCAGGAAGTTGTTCCGCTCCAGCTCCCGATTACCCTCAGCGCTGTCCCTCTCTGCTCGAGTAATATTGTAGAGGGAGAAGGAAAATGTCCGGAACTCCAACGCGATTTCATCTGGCACTAGAGTCGTTTGTCCTGAGGTGGTCTTGACCCGGTGGACCTGTGCGTGAATTTGTTGACTCCGGAGCATGCATGCCAGCAGCCATCCCCCCTTGTTAGCGTGGAGTTAGAAGAAGCCTTTTGACCATTGTGCCGATCTGTGGTATTGGCTCGATTGTAGTGCCAGTAGCTGCCCACTGGCCTCTAGGAGTTCTTTGTAGACCAAGGCAGCCTGAGTATGTTTGTATTGAGCTTCAAGAGTAAAGATTGCATATACCAGGTCTTTGGTGTGTCACCTGGATTCTGTCCTCTTCCAGGACACGATTTGGATTAAAAAACCCTAATGACGCTTTTCTGTGCTTCCCAGATGGTGACATCCAATTGTTCCCCAGGTGGGTTTTCATCGAAGTAGGAAGTCAATGTTTGTGAGATATGTGTCCAGACTTCATGATCCAAGAGTAGATAATCATTCAGATGCCAGGACCTCGTTCGGGGCTGAGACAAGGGGAATCCACCACCATCTGTACCGGGCTGTGATCTGATCAGGAGGAAACGCCTATGTGGGCTGAGTTTAGGCAGGAGATGTTCTCTTGCTGCAGAAAGAGCAGGTCTATTCGAGGGTATCTTGAGTGGGTCAACGAGAAGTGGGTATAGTCCCTATCCGCTGGGTGTTTTGTTCTCCAGCAGTCTATGAGTCGGAGAGCTTGGAGTGATTTATGAATGCTCGGAATGGCGCACTGGGGAATGCTACTGTAGCCGGTCGAGGACTCTATCATGGGGTTGAGGATCAATATGCTTTCAGTGAAGGCGGATAGTGTGGAGAGGGTTTTGAGTATGAACAGTGTTTGGTTGCGGTTCGGGGCATATAGAGTCGCCAGGGTGTCCCATCACATCTCTTTTAACAAATAGATTCCTGCCCTCTGGATACAGTTCCCTCTCCACCTCCGTAAAATGTAGGTTCACTGCCACTAATATAGCCACCCCTGCTTTACGAGCCGAATGTTTGTTTTTCAGTGGTTGATCTGCGGTTTCTACAAAGTGGTGTGTATATATATATATAGATACATATATATATATATATATAAATATATAAAAGCGCCTACAAATTCTGCAGAGCTGTACAAGGGATATATATATGTATACCACAAAGGGTAGTTAAGAATTATGGGCTAATATCCATACCAAGTTGTGTCCAACCAAACAAGGAACGGAACTTGAAAAGGTGGGCACATACCAACATTCCAAAGAATGAAAGAGGAGCTTGAAATGGTTTGTACACTTAAGGCAGTAGTAGTCCCATTAGGAGTGTGTATATATTTGAACTGGGAAACCCAGGATTAAATCCCAGTCAGATCACCTCAACAGTAAGGGACATTATGCAAGACAAGACACCTACCAGTATATATCTACCTACCTCAAATCCTCATAGATTTTAAACTTGTTTGGGAAGGACCTTCAAATATTCCCCTAATGTTATTGTAAAGTGCTGCAGAATATGTTTGCTTTATATAAATGCTAATAATATTTCACTGTTCAATACATTTTATGGTTACTTCTGTGCAGCTATTAAACAGCTTATAGGCATATTCTTAGTTCTAATGGAGGGGAAGGTGCTAGAACTGTGGCTGCCAAACCAATGCCCATTCCCAGCAACAATCCAGAATTTATGTATTTCCCTTTTCGATTTTAATGGAACTACTGACAAAACCTGGTCTATTGCTGGGTCAAGAGGACTGGCTTGGGAACCACTGTGCCAGAGGATAGTGTGATTTCAATATATATCACTATGTTAAAAAATAATAAAATTCTGTACTTTAGAATTTCAAGTGAGGACACCAGGGGACATGTGGTTCTCCAAGGAGTCATGTCAGCTTTAAATTATTATATCTTTTTTAATAACTCTCTGTGATGTCATCAAATCTGTGGTTCGACAGTTGGATGTCAGTATGTACAAACGGTGTTAGGTTAATTAATGAACCGATCTCGAGAATTCATATTCAAAAGAAGAAAAGGCTTCACAAAAACGCAAATAAAAAAAAAAAAGCAAACATATCGATGTGGCAAATTTGCTTGTTTATTTGAAAATAAAAATAAATTTAAATCGCTATAAATATCAATATCCTGTTGTTACTGCATAAAAGAAAATATCCACAAACAGAGCACAAACTTAACTTGGCATATAGAAGTCGACTTGTAGAACTGTGAGCAATAACGTTGTTTGATGCTATTAATCAATTTCTGAATTCATGTAAATGTGCACTTGTTTTGACATATATACTGTAACAAGAGAGAATACTACCAAGAAGCATCAATTCACATCATCCGGTTCTGTCGAGATAACCTTTACGGCCTGCATTATTAATCAGGAGTTAGAAATTGTGCTGCTGGCATCCGAGGATGAGGGAAGATTGCTGTAGAGGTTTAAACAAAATCGTTATGGTGTTCTATTGTGAAAAGAAGTGCCTGAAATAAAATAATAGTCTCGATATAAAACTACCTTATTGCTAATGCACTCTCTTCGATGTATAATTTCTATCCCATTTCTATCTGTATTTTGGATTTTGTGAGAAACTACATTTTTAAAGACTTATTAGAAAGAATTGGGTTTACTGTTTGTTGAAATCTCTCAATCACGGCTATTTGTGCTGTCTGTTTCCTTGAGATA